AATCGAGGTTTAGTTCCATCATTTTGGGACTTATTGAACAATATAATCAACGGTTGCATACTGTAGCATTTGTACTAACATAGAAATTTTAACGAAATACTGATCGCATGTCTAATCAATTTTATAAATATGAAAATTTTTTACATTACGATTTGACGCTCCCTCTTGCATAGAAAGTGAACATTTACGTAAATTGGTATTTCTACAAATAAATTTAAAAAAATAAAAACTTATCTCATCTAGGAAGAATTTCACTATAGTGAAAACAATGCAAGGACTGCTTTAAACTTTAACAAAATTGAAGATTTCTAATAATAAGTAAGATTTAGTTTCACTTTATCGTTTCTATAGCTTACAAAGTTCAACACTTGAGTGCGTAACTGTCGACGACAGAAACTTTTTCACGATATTTTTACTTTTAAACTGAAACTCGAGTTCTTCATATTGAGTTACTCTTACTCTATCAAGCAATTTTTACCAATGTAAACATTCCTGTCACAATGTGTTAAATTGTATAGTACAATTTCCGCACAATGCAGGTTAAAAGGCAGGTTGCGAAAGAGTTAACAATTGGTGTCGTGACACGTAGTGGAACTCGAAACTTAAATTGCAAACGTGGAACCATTCGAATGATGATGCAGTCTCCTTCGTGTCTGCACACCCTTTCCTACTGGAAACAGTCAAACGAAAGGAACGTTTCTCTCATGCGCGTCAGCCGTTGGAAACGAATAAATGACGTTAAAGAAATGATTTCCCGTGAACGTAACACAATTTCTTGCTCGCAATCTTTACGGTCTCGTAAACTATTCCATAAACAGCGGTCTTACGGTTAGATTTATTTCATCAACGATGCAATTACTTTCCCCGATTATAGTTTATAGGCAGGCTTGTCTCGTATTCTGGGAACGGTTTACGGTACCGATGACAAACAGTTTATAGTCATAAATCTTAACCACTTAATACCGTCTAGTATTGTGAATTCAAATACAAAAATGCTTCGTCAAACATCTATCGAAAGTTCAAAAGAATTCATATTGTTAAATATTCAAAGAAATATTCAAATATTCGAATACTGATAAATATAAAGTGTATGTGATTGAAATGACCATTCATTCTTCTAAAAAAATTTTGAATTTTTTAAAAATTTTGAATTTTTTAAAAATTTCGAATTTTTTGAAAATTCAGACTCACCTTACGTGTCTAATAAACTATACTTTATTACAGTTACTGACATTCATAAAAAGTAATGCAAGGTGTTTGTGTATTGTATTTTTAAACATTGAATTCATTTACTGTATTTTCAATCTTCTATTCTTAGAACAAGGTTCTAATAAATTCCTTTAAATAATAAAGGGATATATGGTAAAACCAGAGAACTGAAAAGGAAACAATGAAATCTAGAGAACCATTTTGTCACAGCATATCACAAGTGGTGTTCTATAAATATTCATATGCAATTAATTCAGTACTAAAACTACAATATAATGTCTTGATTGTTATTTTCTAACTTACGTATTCGCGATTAATCGTACCGGTTTAAATTTTTCAAACAATATGACAGTCGATACATTTTTCTATGGCTGACAATCTTCGAAAAATTAATTAAATCCAAAAATATACTGCATCTACAGTTAGCACAGTAAAAATACTGATTACCAATGAAACATTTCTTCGAGATATTCTAGGAATCTCGTAACTCGTCATTAAAGTACGTTAGGAGATAAAGATCAAAATAGTACCTACAAATTATCCCGATATCCCGATTTAAGTAGATTAGGGGACCAATCTATTATTGGAATACGAGTTAAAAGATCAATTAGTTTTAAATGCGTTTCATTCGACGAAGGGTGTAGGTACGTCTTATCTTAATCCTCAAACGAAAGCCAATTCAAACAGATAGCTGCTCAAGTAATAGAGTATTCGTCTTCGTTGCTCAACCGATTCTTCGTTTGACAAATTAATCGAAGCTCTTTGCTTTTTTTTCGACGATTTCAAAGAAAAAAATCTGTTTACCAATTGACCAAGGAAGTGATCGATCGCATGTTTTAAAAGGAAATTATTCATGACACCAGAAAGTAATAAACTTTGAATTATTGAAAACTATTGGATCTAGTAAGAACTTACTTTCGTGAAAGATATTAAAAAGTTCGTGAAATATAGATAAATACTAATACTCTTTAAAATATTTCAAATTACTAACAATTACGAATATTAATATCTACTGTTTGAAAATATATAATATATTAAAGTTGATTCCAAAGTACCAAAGACAGACATTAATTTAAAGAACAGATGCGCAACTTATTTACGATTTACGAAAACAAAACATACTAACAAAGTTTGTGAAAATATTCTAGTAATATTCTGTGCATAAATGTTAACGAAGAATGATCTATTTGTGAAATTATTTCCCAAGGCATTACGCACAAGAGAGCTATCTAATTTTCTCTATACATCGAAATTGGTTCAAATAACCTTACAGCAGGATAATCAGAGGTTCATACTCTATACAATGTCGATAACGAAGTTACAATAAATGCACCGAACAAACTAATACGCTTGCACAAAGCCATTTCAACTGGGGAACTGGAGAATATCAAAGTGAACACTGTACATACATTGTGGATTACATCAATTACCTCATATACTTTAATACATGCAGATGCATATCTGTATAACAGCTGTCTACCACGGGTATATGCATTATATATTGGAACAATTACGTATTTCCTCGTACGGAAATTCAGACGTTCGTTAATCGTCCTGTTGGGGAATAAGATGTCGGATTCAAGGCATCCACTTCAATCCTACAATATTTGCCCTCGTATCGGTATACATCCAATCGTAATTAACAATCAACCAAATGCTCGGCATTTAGTTTATAACTTCATGGATAGTTTAGATTACAGGAACGAAACCATACATACGAAAATAGTGCATTATTG